ACATTGGAGACAAGTGATTTCACCAGGCTTCAAGGCAACTTTACAGGTTATATCTGGGAACAAGCTCTGAGGAGCACAGGGACTGGCCTGCTGCTGGGCGGCACGGTGGCTGAGTGGATAGCACTCTCGCCTCTCAGCAAGAAGGTCCTGGGTTCAAATCCCGGTTGGACCAGGGCCTTTCTGAGTGGAGTTTGCATGTTCTCCCCGTGTCTGCGTAGGTTTCCTCCGGGTGCTCCGGTTTCCCCTACCACTAAAAATATGTACAATAGGTATGGCATGTGCCTCCTGTTCTGGCACCCCCACTCCCAAAAATAACAATTGTAAACCGCTTTGAGACTCCGATGTGCAGTGAAAAGGCGGTACAGTCCCTGTGCTCCTCAGAGTCCCAGCAGCAGACCAGTCCCTGTGCTCCTCAGAGTCCCAGCAGTAGACCTGCGCCCGTGGGCCCCTCCTGCTCCACCTGTGGAGGTTCCTCAGCAGCGAGCAGCAAGCCCCAGAGGGAGGTCCAGGTGCCACAGGGATGAAGAGGAAGAGCCCATCTCCAAGAGGCCAAGCTTCTCCTACTCTGAGGCCATTGAGAAGGAACCCATCCCCTCCACCTCTGGTGGGACGTCTGGGGGCTTCCTTCACTATACTTCCAGTAGCTCCACCTGCTCCAAGACTCTGACGAGGACTGAAGCTCAGCTTGAGACTGGAGACAACAGCCCCTGGAGGCAAGAAGGAGAGAAGGCCACGCCTATTTCTACAGTACTGTGACACATGTGCAGAGGAGGTCACAAAGTGTTCACATGGGACTCACGCTCCACCATCATCCAATTAGTAGATAAACCCTTTCAGAGGACACTTTGAAAGCTGGAGAGCCACTGGTCGCTCCGCACTATAGGCTTAAGAGCCTTGTTCTAGTATCAATATTAGTTTGTTTCAAGAGAGGAGAAGACAAAGAAAACTATGTAGGACTTCCATAAACTTGAAGTCTCCATAGAGGAAACACATTGAACATGAGCAGTAAGTAAACCTGATGTGAGCAGAGATCTTCAGCCTCACTCTGTCCTCCATCGTACTCCTTGCTTTTTCCTCTGGGGAGTTGCCCAATAAACTTTATGTAAATATAGTGTTGATTGATTTATTGATGGTTGCTGGCGCAATACCCTCTGCTTTGATGTGCTTTTTTAAATCAAAGGAGAGGAATACTATGTAGGAACGTTTTAGAGACACATTAACTTTGACAGAAAAAGTCACTCTGTGAAATGACACAATGACTTGATTGTATTTGAAAATGGAAAAAATAGGAGCTTAAGCTAAATCTTGTGTGGTTTTCTGCATAGTACGCCTGGCCTTATGTTCAATCTAGATCAGGGATGCCCAAGCTGGGGCCCGTGGGCCCGTGAGCTGATGAGGATCAGCAGGTGAGGGGCAGCTGTCTAAACACAGACGCACAGACTTCCCTATCCACACACACTTCCTACAGCTCCTCTGGGGGAATCCCGAGGCGTTCCCAGTCCCTACAGTGTGTCCTGGGTCTTCCCCTGGGTCTTCTCTTAGTGAGACATGCTCGGAACTCCTCCTCAGAGAGGCGTCCAGGAGGCATCTGAAACAGATGCCCGAGCCATCTCAACTGGCTAATTTTGACGTGGAAAAGCAGCGGCTCTACTCCAAGCTCCTGCCAGTTGACTCTCTCTCTTAGGGAGGGACGCAGAGGAAACTCATTTCGATCACTTTTCTCTGTGATCTCGTCCTTTCGGTCATTACCCAAAGCTCATGACCAGAGGTTGTTCACGAGAGGCTCACTTGTGAACAAGACCCTGAGATACTTGAACTCCTCCACTGGAGGAAGGACCTCTGTACCTGGAGAGTGCGAGGCACCTTTTTCCGATCGAGCACCATGGCCTCAGATTTGGACGTGCTGATCTTTATCCCAGCCGCTTCACACTCGGCTGCAAACCGTCCCAGTGCATGTTGAAAGTCCTGGTTTGTTGGAGCCAACAGGACATTTTCTGCAAACAGCAGAGATGAATTCCTGTGGTCTCCAAACTATGGTCCCCAAATACTTATTATTCATTTTATAAATTTTGTTCATTTTATTATTTTTTGTTTGACATGGACAATGTCGTCAGACATATTTACCAAGGCAAGGCACTTCAGGCTTTGACAGCACTGAGAAAGACACACACACATCACCACATGAGATAGGATTTTCTATTAAAGTCATCGTACAGTCATTGGCCCTCATTTATGAAACTTGTGTACGGACAAATCAGGGTGTAAATGAGGCGTACGCAAATAATTTACACTTTTTGGCATTTATCAATTTGGAAGTGGGCGTATGGTACATACAAAATTTACGCAGGAGGTGGTGTAAATTTTACACCCATTTCAACCTTCATCACAACACGCCAAAACACACATGACATTCAAGATTGGACAACAATACACATTTTCCTACTCTGGAAAAATTATAAGCTGCGTTTTCATTGAGCATCATATTCCAAAATTTTAATTTGCGCATCAGAAAATGTCTAATGGAAACACGCAAACTTCGAATAAATCACAGTTCATGATGAGGACCCTCTTCTGTTTCTTTGATTTTAAATCTGCATGTGTATTATTTTCATCTGTCTTTAAAAAAAAAAGATTAAGTGCTTTATGTTCCATCCATCCATGATCCATTCATTCATTCATTCATTTCTAAAGTTCAAGAAAGAATAGTGCTGCACTGAGTCTAGACACTACTGGAAACTGTCAAAACGGGGTGTGAAAAGGGCGGTTTCTGAATATTTATAGGCGTGACTTTCATAAATACGCTAGTTTTGAGTGTGGCATTTATGAACAGCTGCACTTGCGTACGCACAGATCTGGGCGGATCTCACACGTTCATAATTCCCGCGTTGGATTTTGCGTATTTGGAATCTACACCAAAAACATACACCCTTTTCTGCGCAAGTCTCATAAATGAGGGCCATTGTGTGTATGAGCACATGAGGAACACACACTGACAGCTTTAACTGGCTCTGTGTCATTACCAAAGATGTCTGCAGATTGTTTCCAGATTTGTGTTGTCCGATTATGTCCCGGTGAGTCATCTTCAAATAAGTAGTGAACTTATGAATGAAAGACGCAGTCTGCTCCCACTGTTCACAGATGGATGTGTCGCTGATGGAGCTGTCCATGGTATCAACCACCCTACTGCAGTGAAGCACCACTAGAGACCACCCTGATCCTGACTTACACAGTGAGAGGCCATTCTGACTCTGGACCAATAACACGGACAGGAGTCTGGTGAGCTGGACTCAAGGTCCATTTAGGATCCACAGTTGAATGCAGACTATTGTTACTTACCTGATCTGATTTAACTGGTTTTCATTACAGGAACTCAAGTCATGGTTTTCTACAACTACAATGACTGTTGTACTTCCAGCTCCAGCCACATGTAGTCCAAAGAACACACAAACATTCGTAACTTAGATAAAGAGTGTTCAGTCTGTATCTGCACATTAGAATGTAAGAGACACCGAACTTGTATTTGACCAAAGAATGCAAATAAGGCACTAAATGAGTTCCCTTCTGGCTAGAGCCGCTGCTCCTTCAGGTCAAGAAGAACCGTTTGAGGTGATGAAAGGAGGCACCTTTTCAAAGTGGATTTTGCATCGTACTGTTGCCTCTTCCAACCAGCAACAGTTCACTCAATGGTCTTTTCAACTTTGTCGTCAGATGGCAGATGGCTGTTTAAAGATGTCCCTGCTCCAAACGGTCCATAAGCACTTGCAGCGACATACTTGCAATCTCACTTCTAGCCTGTAGGGGTGTACCCGGAAAGAGAATTACCCAGCTGCAGGAGGTGTGTGTGAAGAGTGGAGTCTGGGCCACTCTGCTCAGACTGCTGCCTCTGTGACCCGGCCCTGGATTAAGTGGAAGATGAACCCAGAACAAGTGACTGAGGGATGGAGAAATCTTAACAGAAGACAGCGCTGAAGAAATCCAATGTAGTCATAATAAAACCCAACGATGTAAGATTCAATTGTACTATTTTTTCGTATTTCAGTAATGGGAAGTTTGTGTTGAAGTTCTGTGTAACTTGTAACCACCAGAGGACAGTCACACACTATTCTATAATAATCGTTCCTGGGGCCCCCTAATTTCCAGATCTGATATATATGTTTTTTGCAATGGAACTACTCATTTACTTTTCCACCAGATTTAGTAAAAATGACCTTTACCTTCACTCACTTCACTAAATGCTAAAACTGTTGAACTGAACTTGACATACAGCAAAAACAGGCTAATGCTTGAGAGTGTGTTGCTACCACCTGCTTAGTAGTTTTTCCTTTTACATGGGTAGTTTTATCATCACTGTGAATATTTAAACCCACAGAGATAATACAGGGTGCTTGTGCAAGTCTTGAAAGTCTTAATAATTTTGAAACACTGTTTTCCAGACCTTGAAAAGTCATGAATTTTGTGTGAAAGTCTTAATAAAGTATGGGGAATAAAATGTATGGTAGAATTTTACAGTATGCTCAAAGGCATTGTGAATAATTCATTTGTTCATTGAATACTAGCCTATAAGAATGAACATTTCTGATAAAGACAGTTGGTACAATCTCAACCAATGAAGTAGGCAGAAGGCACCCAAGTATACAAGTACATAAAGTTAAGGTCTGGGAAAAAAAATATCAGTTTTAAAAATGTCTGGAATTTTAATTTGGAAAAAGAATAGAAAAATTACTACCTCAATATTCTTGCCCTAGAGTGTAATATCGATGTATTTGCATATTTATAAATAAGTATATATTTATTTATACCGTGTTTCACACCTTACATGTTTATATTTTATACTATTTTTCTTTATAAAGCAAAGGAAGATTTATTTTTCATTTTTAGATTTGTTCTAATCTAAATATTCACTTGTGTTGTGTGCTTTTCATTCCTATGTTCTGTAACTGACACTGAACTTTCCTCACTGTGAGACGTCTTAAACTGATACATTACCCTTCTACCTGTTCCTACTGTGCTCCAGCAGGGGGCGCAGTGCGGGCGTCCAGCACGTGTGTGTGGATCAGAGGCGGGGTCTGCGCGCTGGTCGTGGCTGGCGGAGGACGCAGCGTCATCAGCAGCGCGAGCTCCATCCTCCTCCTCTTCTTCCTCCTATGAGAACCGGCCTGGAGGGGTTACCTTTGGCTGACGTCTACCAAATTGAACTTTCGCTGGCTGCATTATTATCCAAGCTGCCACAAGATATGAGAGCAGAGTTCAAAAGGTTCCTGTATCCAATGCGTGTCACCATCCCCACCCTTCTGCACTTCTCTGACTGGTTAGATTACAAGCTGAAGATGCAGGAGACAGTGTATGAGTCTTTGCACAGTGAAGTTAAGAGCAGCGAACACAGAGCAGCGCGGCGTCAAGACAGTAAGGCGAACAAACCCACGAGCATTCTCCATACTGCAGACAAGCCTAGTGATACCCCCCCAGCCGAGCAGACATCCACTCCCAATAAAACAGAGAAGAGTGCATTTTGCCCTTATTGTGTCAATACACTGCACTACCTTGATCAGTGTGGTAACTTCACTGTGCTGACTGTGGAGCAGAAATCGGCATGGGTCAAAGCAAATAGAAGATGCTGGCGCTGTGGACGCTCACAACAGTCTGCCCAATGTCGCTTGAAGGTCGCATGCCCAAAGTGTTAGTTATTAAAGGGGCATTTACTGCTGAGCCATTGAGTATGGCCGAACACACATACTCAGTGGAGGGACTTTAAAGGAAACACAGGCAGCTGAGAAATCTCCCACTCCCAACAATAAACAGTGCGCCCCCTGCTGTTAATAGGCTCCGACTACCCACACCTCATCACTCCAGTGGCTCCAGTGCGCATGGGGCGGCCGGGAGGACCTGCAGCGGTGAAAACAAAGTTAGGATGGACACTTCAGGGCCCAATAAAGAATGGGAAAATGCAGCCAGGCACTCAGCAGTGCCTACACATCACCATGTCACCAGCTTCTGAACTAGTCCAGAATGTGAAAAGTTGTGGCAATTGGACTTTCTCCCACATCGCAGTGAAAAGCTGGTTGTGCGCTCCAGACAGGATCAAGAGGCCAAAACAACAAGGGTCGATATCCAGGGAGTACTCAGGTATGCCACACCACTCCTCAGGGTGAAGAACATGCCACAACCTCAATGCGCCAAAGGAGGCTGTGCTCGCCAATCTACGCAGCACAGAGAGAAGGCTGCTGCGAGACCCAGTAAGAGCCGCCGCCTATAGCTCAGAGATCGCCAAACTAGATGCTGCAGGCTACGTTGTTAAAATCCCAGAGGCAGAGCTGAGCGGAGCCAAGGAGTCCTGGTTCATCCCACATCACATGGTGAGCCACAATGGCAAGAACAGGATTGTATTTAACTGTTCTTTCTGTTATAAAGGGGACAATCTCAATGAGCTGCTACTGCCAGGCCCAACCCTCACATCCAGCCTGCTGGGGGTGCTCCTTCGCTTTAGGGAGCATGCAATCGCAGTGACATAAAAGGTATGTTTCATCAAATCAGGCTGCTCCCTGAAGACAAGACCTTGCTGTGCTTCCTGTGGCGGGACATGCAGACAGAGAAACCCCTCAGTATCTTCGTTTGGCAAGTACTTCCATTTGGCACCACTGCAGAAGCATGTGTTGGACCACAGTGAGGTGGGTGAGGATGTCTGTTTCACAATAGAGAAGTTGTTGCGGCTTCCTGCAGACCTGAGCCGCTGAGCCGGTCAGAGTGGGTCCTAAATGTGATGACGCGTATTGAAGCCTATGCTACAAAATCCTTGATTCGGTATTGCGTTTTAAAGTGATTTATTGACTTAAAAAGGTGCAGCAAACAAAATATGGAAAAATGATAAACTGTTGAACTGTAACATAGAACCTGATGTGAGCAAACAAAAAGGTAAAAGGCAAACAAACGAACGAACGGTCAACAAAAAATACGGCTACCCACTCAGCCCTGACTCATCACTCGCCTGACCGTTCCACCACACTTTTACCCCTGCTGCACCTGCCCCGTGAGCCCCGCCCCCTGCTGTGCAGCCACACACACACACACGAACCACATACACACCCAGTGAACCCTGATCTGTCTCCTACAGAAGTGCTTCTACGTTGACAATCTATTACAGAGCATTCCTACTGCAGAAGAAGCCAGGCATCACGTGGACAAACTAACAGCGTTACTCGCAGCAGGAGGATTTGAACTAAGACAATGGGCCAGTAACGTACCAGAGACAATCAAACATCTGTCTAAGGAGCCCGATCTGAAAGCAGTGAACTGTGGCTTCAAGAGGCCAGCACAGACCCACAAGAACTTGCCCTTGGCCTGCGTTGGCTCTGCAACTCTGACACTTTGAGGTACAAATACCACCAGCTTGAACCCCCCACCCCCACTATGCGAAACATATACAGAGTCTTGGCACGTCTGTATGATCCCCTGGGTTTCATTGCTCCCTTTACCACCCGTGCCAAAGTCCTGGTACAGCGGTTGTGGGACAAACAGCGAGAGTGGGATGACCCATCCCTACCTGAGGACATTCTTCAGCCCTGGTTGGAGTGGGAGACGGAGTTACAGCACTTCAATCAATCAATCAATCAAATTTTATTTATAAAGCGCTTTTCATACAAAAGATGCAACACAAAGTGCTTTACAGTTTGGTTAAAAACAATCCCGCCGGCCCAAGACTCCTCCCCCCGACCACCCAACAGACCCACCCCAAACCACAGACAAACACACACATACGCTCTCATGAACACTCATACACACACACACACACACCAGTAAAACAATAAAACCATGATGAGAGACTTGGCAGGGTTCAGATGCAACCAGCTGAAGAAGCGTCATCCAAGGAGCCGTCTGCACCAGGAGCAGACGGCTCCTGGTGACGGCTCCTGTAGCCACAGGGGACGACACAGGACCCAGAGGAGACACGAAACCGAGGCCCCAGGCCCAAGAGTCCGACCCCCGCAGCCACACCGACCACTGCTCCCAGTGCAGAGGGCTCCTCCACAGGAAACACTGGGTAGACTAAAAACAATACAATAACAATTCAATAAGTAAAACACTAAAATGTGTGACTAAAAAGAACTAACACACACTACATGAATAATAGCAATAGCTACATAATAAATAATAAATAATAAAAGATAAATAGAATGGAATAATAAAAACTAATCAAAAGCTAATCTAAAAAGGTGTGTCTTGAGCCTACTCTTAAAAATATGAATGTTCTCTGCGGCCCTGAGCTCCTCCGGCAGACTGTTCCAGAGACGGGGGCCGTAGTGCTGGAAAGATGCCTCGCCGTGAGTGTGTGACCTGACTTTGGGGATGGTTAGGAGTCTGCTGCCGGAGGAGCGCAGGGGCCGGGAAGGTTCATAGGATAAAAGCAAATCTGAAAGATAAGAAGGCCCAAGACCATTAAGACATTTAAAAACCATAAAAAGGACCTTAAAATCGATCCTGAAACACACAGGGAGCCAATGCAGCGATTTTAAAACCGGTGTAATGTGGTCCCGCCCCCTGGTCTTAGTCAGGACACGTGCGGCCGAGTTTTGGAGTAATTGAATACTTGCAATATTCTTTTTGGGAACACCAGAGAGCAGGGCATTACAGTAGTCAATGCGACTGGTGATAAAAGCATGCATCAGCGTCTCCGTGTTGGCCCGAGAGAGAATGGGGCGGACTCTGGCGATGTTCTTTAGATAATAAAAACCTATTATTGTGATACTCTTGATGTGAGGAATAAAAGTCAGCTCAGAGTCAAAGATTACGCCCAGGTTTCTCACTTGTGATGATGGATTAAAAGAGTGTGATTGGAGTATGGTTAAAAGTTTCTCTCTCTGGGCCTCAGGACCGATGACTAAAACCTGAGTTTTGTCCTGGTTGAGCTGGAGAAAGTTCTCTGCCATCCAGGATTTCAGGTCTAAAATGTAGTTAAAAAGAGCATCCATTGGTGTCATCAGGAGACATGGAGATGTACAGCTGTGTATCATCTGCATAACTGTGGAAGTTATTTCCATGTCTCCTGATGACACCGCCAAGAGGGAACATGTAAAGGTTAAAAAGGAGCGCTCCTAACTTCTCTGCGCACTAACTTCTCTCCGGAGACTTCTCTCTCGCTGCTACTGTGTGTATTACAAGTCACGCTGCTTCTATTGACGGAAGTGAGCGAGAGAGAAGTCTCCGGAGAGAAGTTAGTCCGCGGACGTAGCGCCCCTCAGATTACTACGCCTCACAATATAGTACCCGTTTTATCCGCTGAGAAAATTGACTGTTACATTTCTGTGTTACTATACTTTGCAGTGTAACACGTCACGTAACTATATACATTTAATAGGGAACACTTGGAAGAGTTTGGTAGCTTCTAGCGGGAGCTACCTTTTGGTGCTACAAAATATACAAAGGAGGCTGCGGTTGTGCTCCCGTTTTTGCTCCGTTTGCATGACAGAGCGCACGGACTAAGACCAGACAGGTACGTATTAACTAGTCTAAGGTAAGGTAAGAACATATGTCAGTATGTAAAAACGGTGAACTATTCCTTTAAGGCCAGGCTTAAAACACTCTTTTTCAACTTAGCATTTGGTTAGGTTGTTGTCCGGTCAGGTTTCGTCCGGTCTTGGAGTCTGCGTATGTTGGACCCGGTCCGCTGCATCTTCAACCCTACGCTCCAGGTTAGGCTAAAACAGTCCTCTTTAGTTAGCATATGGCTAGGAAGGTAAGACTCAGAATCAGAATCAGAATCAGAATCAGAATCATTTTTATTGCCAACGTAAGTAACGGGAGGTCACAGACTTGGAAATTGCTTTGGCTCAGTGCAACAGTCAAAAAGAGATAATAAAAATAAGAATAAAAAACACTTCTAAAGAATAAATTTAAATTTAAAATAGAGTTACAGTTACTATTTACAATGTACAAGTGCACATGGTGCACACAATGTAAGGTGACAGCAGTACAGTGAAGTAAAGTGACGTATGATGGGCAGTAAAGTGACTTTATAAAGGGCGGGGGGACAGGTTAAGAAGTGTTCAAGAGTCCAACAGCAGAGGGGAAGAAACTGTTCTTGTGGCGGGAGGTTCTAGTCCTGATGGACCGCAGCCTCCTGCCTGAGGGGAGTGGTTGGAATAGTCCATGTGCAGGGTGAGAGGGGTCGGCTGTGATACGACCAGCCCGGCCTCGAGCTCGGGCGACGTACAGGTCCTGCAGCGATGGAAGGCTGCGGCCGATCACTTCCTCTGCAGAGCGCACAATGCGCTGTAGTCTCTGTTTGTCCCTGACTGTGGCTCCAGCGAACCACACGGTGATGGAGGAGGTGAGGATGGACTCGATGATGGCCGTGTAGAACTGCACCAACATCTGTGCAGGCAGCTTGGCTTTCCTGAGCTGCCGCAGGAAGTACATCCTCTGCTGGGCCTTCTTGATGAGGGAGCTGATGGTCGGCTCCCACTTGAGGTCCTGGGTGATGGTGGTGCCCAGGAAACGGAAGGACTCCACAGAGGTGATGGGGGAGTCCATCACGGAGGGTGGGGGCGGGGGGACAGTGCTCTTCCTGAAGTCCACAATCATCTCCACTGTCTTCTGGGCGTTCAGCTCCAGGTTGTTACCACTGCACCAGGACACCAGCCGGTCCACCTCCCTCCTGTAGGCGGACTCATCGTTGTTGGAGATGAGTCCAATGAGGGTGGTGTCGTCCGCGAACTTGATCAGCTTCACGGAGTCGTGGCTGGAGGTGCAGTGGTTGGTGTACAGGGAGAAGAGCAGGGGAGAAAGAACACAGCCCTGTGGGGCTCCTGTATTTATAATCCGAGAGTCCGAGACATTCTTCCCCAGACGCACTCGCTGCTTCCTGTCCGTCAGGAAGTCAGTGATCCACCTGCAGGTGGAATCGGGCACGTTGAGCTGGGAGAGCTTGTCCTGGAGCAGGGGTGGCAGGATTGTGTTGAAGGCAGAGCTGAAGTCCACGAACAGGACCCTGGCGTAGGTCCCCGGGGAGTCCAGGTGCTGTAGGATGTGGTGGAGGGCCAGGTTAATGGCGTCGTCTACAGATCTGTTGGCTCTGTAGGCGAACTGCAGGGGGGTCCAGGAGGGGGGAGGTGAGGGACTTGAGATGGGAGAGAACCAGGCGTTCAAATGACTTCATGACGACAGACGTAAGTGCTACAGGTCTGTAGTCATTGAGTCCTGTGATCCTGGGCTTCTTCGGGACGGGGACAATGATGGAGGATTTGAAGCAGGCCGGGACATGGCAGGACTGCAGAGAGGAGTTGAAAATGTCCGTGAACACAGGAGTAAGCTCACTGGCGCAGTGTCTCAGAGTGGCCGGAGACACGTGGTCCGGGCCAGGAGCTTTGCGGGGGTGCAGCCTCAGGAAGAGTTGTTTAATCTCTTTAGCGGCTATTGTTAGGCTGGGGGCAGGGCTGATGGGTGGGTCGTTAGAGTAGTGGGGGGTGGGGGAGGGAGAGGTGTCAGGGGCAGCATCAAAGCGACTGAAAAATAAGTTCAGATCGTCAGCTAGCTTGTGGTCATCAGCAAAGGGGGTGCTTTGGGTTTGTAGTTGGTGATCTCCCGTAGGCCCCTCCAGACAGAAGCAGTATCGTTGTTACCAAACTGCTCCTGTAGTCGTTCTCTGTGCCGGGACTTGGCTGCTTTCAGTTCTTTCCTGAACTGATATTTAGCTGCTTTGTAGCCGCTGCGGTCCCCCTCCCTGAAAGCAGACTCCTTTGCTTTCCTGAGCTGCCGGAGTTTAGCAGTGAACCAGGGTTTGTCGTTGTTATAGATGACCCTGGTCCTTGTTGGAATGATGCTATCCTCACAGAAGTGGATGTATGACGTCACAGTGTCCGTATATTCATCCAAGCTGTCTGTGGCAGCTCTGAAAAGGTCCCAGTCTGTAGATTCCATGCATGCGCGCAGCTCTTCCACAGCTTCATCAGACCACACTTTGGAGCTCCTCACTGCAGGTTTCGAGAGCTTTAGTCTCTGTCTGTAAGCAGGAACCAGATGTATCATGGAGTGATCTGAGAAGCCGAGGGCTGGCTTGGGAACAGCGCGAAAAGCTCCGCGCACGGTGGTGTAACAGTGATCCAGAGTGTTCTCCTCTCTGGTCGGGCATTTGATAAACTATCTGTATTTGGGTAATTCCTGGCTCAAGTTTCCCTTATTAAAATCCCCCAGGATAATAATCAGAGAGTCCGGGTATAAGCGTTCCATACACAGTACTTGCTCTGCGAGTGCGCGCTGAGCCTCGCGCGCGTCCGCGCATGGCGGTATGTAAACAGAGGCAAGAATGAATGAAACAATTTCCCGCGGGGAGTAATATGGTTTACAATGAATGAAAAGATATTCCAGAGCAGGAGAGCAGTGCTTGGAGATCACTGTCACATCGTTACACCAGTTTGTATTGACGTAGAAACAGAGCCCTCCGCCTCTGCTCTTCCCTGAGAGCGCACAATGGCGATCCGCGCGAAACAGCCCAAAGCCCTGCAGCTCCAGAGCGCAGTCCGGGATCCGCTCATTTAGCCAGGTCTCAGTGAAGCAGAGGACACAGGATGTGGCGAAGTCCTTGTTTCTTCTCATGAGCAGGCTGAGTTCGTCCATCTTATTGCCCAGTGAGCGTACGTTGGAGAGAAAAATGCCGGGGAGAGCCGTGCGCGCTCCTCTCCTCCTAAGACGCACGAGCAGGCCTCCTCGCTTTCCCCTTTTACGGGCCCACACTTTTTTGGCTAGAACATGAACTAAATCAGCCGCAGATGCCAAGAAAACAGGCAATAGGTCCATGGGAACGGTGGGTCGGATGTTCATAAGTTCCTCACGGGTGTAGGAACAGCCAGATGCACAGTTAAAAAGTAAAAACAAAAGAAAAAGAGAGCAGCAAAGAGCCATGTCGACCGTACGAGGCGCCATTTTCTCAGGGAAGGCTAAACTCCTTAGACTGTCACTCAAGCTGCATAGGGAGTCAGTTTGCTGGGAGAAGTATGGTAACTTGAACACTATCCTCTCCTCCTTCCTACTTTATCTGTTTAGCATTATTAGGATTTTGACTGGAGTCTGTTCATTGCTATTCATCCGTTGTCCCAATGTCTGTTTCATGGTACCACGACGGGACCTCTGAGCCTCCTCCATCTACACTTGCGGACTACCCTGCCCGACCCGCCTGGGAGTGCTTCAGTCCTGCACTGGACCTGTCCACGCTCAGCGGCCGCTGGTCCACGTTCTGTAGCTTAGGTCCTGGATCTATAGCCCGGCCGACCTTCCCACACTGCAGACCCGCTCAAAGTAGCACAAAGACCCAGCATAGCTTCGTACCGGGACCACAGTCATGGTGATAGACCCGCAGTTTCCAAGAGCCCTGTGGCCAGTGGGACTGGTCACCAACGTGCTTCCAGGACGTGATGGACGGGTGCGCGCTGCAGAAGTCCGGGTGAAGGACATGACATACACAAGACCGGTCGCCCGCCTAGTGACTTTGACTGCCATTCCGAGCACTTGTTCCAATACTGTTGGTCCTTCATAAGTTGCAAATTTGTTGGGACAAATTCGGGGGCGGCTGTGACGAAGAACGGCCCTCTTTGGTATTTCTGTTGATTGACATGTGCATTAGCCAATCGCAAGTGTTTATGTTCCAGGTTTAATTGACAGCTAATTCGGGCCAATCAGAAGCTTGTATTTTCAAGGTGCATTGAGAGCACTACGTTTGCTAAAGTTTATCATTTGCAGAGTGTTTTTCAGACCTCGTGGTTATGAAAAAGTGAGTAGTGGTTGGACTGAAGTCACAGAAATGAACCTGATTTCTTGTACACTGTTTATAAGGTTATTATAACATGAGTGAATTGCAGGTATATTTTAGGCATATTTGAATGTATGCTCCTTTATTTGAGTGCTGCTAAGAGCTAAGGGATCTGCAGCTCTGTGGAAGCGCTTTAGGTGGATGTCAGTGCTCAGACAGGTCTTAACGGTCTTAAAGGTCTTGGTTCTAGATTCTGTCAGTGCTGCTTTAAATCCCCAGTCAGTTATTCCGGCTCTGAGCTCTACAAATGTCAAACACAGTCAGCTCTCTGACAGCATCAACTGCCTTAGTGTACGCTCCATGCAGAGGCCATTTTAGACTTTCAGAGTTTGCAGCCGTTTGGCGAGGGAAGGGGGAGAGGGAGGGGGGAGAGAGAGGGGGGGAGAGGGGTCGTATCAAGTAGAGTTTTCTGGCATTGATACTTGTTTGTATTGTTAGTATGTTTCTGCTGCTCTCCCTCAGTCTGCCCCTGATCAATATGCAGCTTCTCTTTCACTGCTGTTTACCATATTACACATTTGATATGCAGGAAGTACACTATAAAATAACAGATACATCCATCATTACTGGGATCTAAACCACATTTCCTGAGACAATACTTTGTTAGTTGAATTAAAAAAATGATGCAGCTGCGTTTTCCACTTGCAGATGTCAAAGTCGCCAAATTCACCAACACTATACAACAACTTGTCTCCTCACTACCCGAAATTGTGAAGAGATATCAATGCATCAATTATACTGTAGCTAGTTAGCGCCTATCCACAACGTCTATGCTATCCACTAAAAGCTGTCAAACCAAGGAGGCGTGTCTCCTTGGTTTGACAGCGTAGTCTCTAACACTCTGAACCAATGAGAAGCTGGGAAACCTCTTGAGCCAATGAAACGCTTCAAAACACTGACACAGTTGATACGCAAAGCGAGCAGCGGCTGCAGAGTCCGAGACACTGACACGTTTGTCACGAGACAGGTTTGTTTTGATACACGCTCCAACGCCACACAAGTTACGGAGCGTTGGTGTTGTTTGCCCATCACAAAAGTAGTTTTTTGTGATAATAATTCACTTTTGTATCTAGAATAAAGCACTGTGATAAAGGTAGTGAATTCGATGCTGATCAATCTAATGAGTAAACGTAGGAAGAGATATAATAACAGAGCTAAGGTTAGATTTGATTTTGTTCAGCAGCAGGCTAAATAGCAAATAAAACATGAATGTGTGTGGGACAAGCAGTCAAGCAGTGAGAGACATATGTGTGTGACCCATAGACTGTATATATTAACGGACGTAGTCACGCCTATCTCCGCCGTTCAAACAAATGGGCAAAATAATGCTCTACTGGAGCTATCCAAAATGGCCGCGAGTGGTCCCGCCCACAAGAAAATTGTGAAAAAACGCATCTGCGCATGCGTCAGCCGGCGAGAGCCCCATTCACGAGTGACTTCAAAAATTCACAGAAGAGTAAACTAGAGTGGTCTAAAAAAATTCACCCCCCTCAGCATTGACACACATGTGGAACGGAGCTTTGGGCCAAGAGCCAACTTTTGGTCCATCCTGTAAAGACGTTTTTGAGAGGTCTGCCAATGCTATATGTTAGCATTGGCTAATTCTTATTCCGGGTCCACCCCCATCGGCCCAGGGTGGTATTGCAAGCATGTCAGCGCACGTCATTTTGGCCACTTTTGAGCCGGGACCCGCCCCCACTGGTGTGACCTCAACAACTTTTATTCAAGTGGACCTTTGAGGCAGAGTTTTTACACCTTTTTAAAAAACATTTTTCATACACACACAACACAGTGTTTGAAAATTCAGAGCAAGAGTTGGAGAAAAACATCGTCCATGAGTTCCCTATTGAGTTTCATTAAGCTAGTGGGATAGCATTGTCCATCTACTGTATATACAGTCTATGCGAGGACATGACATGATCATAGTTTGTGATTTTTAACTTTCAGGTTATCATGGAGCAACTATAATGAAGAATTTGTGCTGATAAGCAAGGTCATAAAATGTACAGTATATAAGTGTGTATTGGCGCCACGTACGCTGCAGGGATAAAAGTGTGCAATCACGTGTGCAGAGATGTTCAAAGTGTTTTCTATGGAATACACTCTAGTATACTTTGTGTGCATCGTTAGGATCTGTTACTGCGTGGGTTTCTGTTTTTTGGTATTTTGTTTTAGTTTGACATCAGTTCTTTTATGGTTTTGTTTTATTAAGATTAAAGCTGCACTAACTGACTTTGAGAAACTTTCGAATCAGAACGCTGAGCTCGCTCTCTGCTTGCCCTCCCCGCAAGGAGCTTTCACCCCCCACTCCCCCCCCAGCCTCTGCTCATGCTAGCTGTATACAGAGCTCACGTCTCACAATAGGATCGCACATTTGAACGTGGAAGGCGTGACCGTAGAATGATAGAACTGGGAAGCGCGGAGGAACGAGACTTTCTTTTGGATGGCTGTTTCGCTGAGTAAGCAGTAACAAAGACACAGGAAGTTTCAAGTTAGCCTGCGCTACTTGTTTACCTCAGCTGTCTGTGCTAACAAGAGACCTGTAGCTTTTCTCAAGAAAGCGGGGGCCAGTGGTCCGCTGTGATTGGTCACAATCTGGCCCCGAAACACATTCTCTTCCTTGTTTCACCAAAACTCGATCTAAAATTAAATGTCACGCCAGCACAAATCTGCGTTCTTCAAAAGGACGTATATCCCAATGCACTGCATGGATATGGATTGAATTTTCGTAATGAATACAAAAATAAAGTCAGTTAGTGCAGCTTTAAGATCCGGTTTTGTTTTATGCTTTACTTCCTGTCCCGTTGATTATCTGTCCCGCCCTAAACTGTTTCACCTAAATGTACCTGTGCTCATCCCCATTTGTTGCTAGGCCTTCGTCATTACTCTTCATCTTTTTCTTCAACTTTTCCCTCCGGTTTTGTCTTTTTTTTTTTCATTATGCTAAAGGTGAAAATTTTAGATTTGCTTCTTTATCATGCAAAAGTTAGAGTTTTTATTCTACTTTATTTTAGTATAAAGCTCATTTTCATTTATCTTGTGTCGTGTGCTCCTCATTCCTACTGCTCTGTAACCGGTGATGCAACACTGAAATTTCCCCACTGTGGGACAAATTAAGGCTCTCTTGTATGTATGTAACAGAAACAATCTCAGATACAAATCATGCACAATTTGCCCTAAATCTCTCTCTTCAGTCTTATATAACGCTGCTTCCTCCAAACATTATGTTATTAAGACGATCTCATCCCGTCTTTGAACACGCTTTACTGCCGGCAAAGAAATGATCTTTTTTCTTTCCCTGTCAGTGTCAAATGTATTTCAACGTTGCGCTTACCTCTTTAGTTTTGTCCATGGCTTTCAGAATGGCCACGTTGAGCTTCTCCAGAGCCGAGAGGACGTTGACGTACTCCCCCAGGTGTGGACTGAAGTACTCTGCAGAGACAGGAGGTCGGTGAGCGAGGACCGACTCTGTGACTATTGGGAGACATTACAGTGTGACATTTATGGACTTTTACAACCAATATGAGGATGGGGTTAATAACTGTAGGAGCTCAGGGAATGCGAAAGGTGTGTAGGTTATAAAGCTAATAAACGAGTGAGTTCCAGACTGACAGAGCCATACATTCACACTATAATCAGATAAATATACAGTTTATGCACAGTTTTTACCTGAGAGCTGATCAATATCCAGATTGCTGTGAACAAGACAAAGACAAACAGAAAATGAATGGAAAGAGAAAAGACAGTGGAAAGGACATTTGGTATAACATAATTGGACTGTAACCTTGGAAATTGAGCCGTCAAATGGACAATTGTGTTTGATAGACGATAGAAGAGCCACGTTGTATTGTGAATGGAATAATGTATTTCTATTTCAGCTGCAGATGTAAAGTGCCGAACTGCCGTTGTGTCCATAGACAAGACACTTAGGGTGCTTTCACACCTGTTGGTCCACTAAAGTGGTTCGCTTGGGCCCTAAAGTTGTTACAATGTTGCAGTTCTCAACTAGTTTGGTTCTCATTCACACCAGTGTTTTTGCAAATGAACCAACCACTGTAGATGTTACATATTCTGCCCTTGTGGTGGCGCTGCTCACAAAATACTGTGTATTGGATGATGTATGTGAAACCTGATTGGTACAGGATGTGAAGAGGGAAGAATACCAGAAGAAAACAAACTTGTCAGATCTTTAACGATGAACTGTGCTACTCTAGTGTGCGGGTATAGCACAAATACTGTTGTTCCAGTTCCAGTATGTATCACAGAGATCAGCACGAGAACACTCTGCGGTTGTTTTTGACTATTCTATCATATAAAAAAAACAATGTGTGTGTCAAAAAGTGAGCTACGCAACAGAGCAGGGCCATATTGAGGCGGCTCAGTGTTCTCACCAGCAGCAAACCAGACTGGAGTCCACATCTTTAGTCCGGACCAAATTTAACTGGTCCACTTTCACACCTGCTCAAACGAACCGTACTTGCAGGTGTTCCAGACTCCAGTCCGTTTTAAGTGGACTAAATGGTGCAGGTGTGAAAGCACCCTAAACCCACATTAATAAGTCTGGTGTATGCAAAGAGCAAACGTAAAGGTTTCTGTGCAAGGTGTACAAATAAGGATTACGTTAAGATTTCAGCTTAACGCTATAGGGCTCCTGGGTGTAGGACAAAAAGGTTGGGAACTGCATTTATCCCAACAACTTTGAAGCACCTTAAAACATAGCACTGTATATTATCTATTGCACTTTGCTGCATATTTTCATTGAAACTAGCTTTGTGGCATCCTCTCTTGTTCTTGTCATCTTCAGTGTTGTGATTTTACTATGTCTGCCTGTTTTTAGATGATTGGTTGCTGCAAAACCAATTTCCCCTAGTGGGACAATAAAAATAACTTTCAACTTTTTAATGTCCTTAAAATAATGTTTTAAAAATGTTTAATCATGTGGCAATGCTAAAACAACTCCAGGTCTGTTTTTTATTGTTGTTTTGTTTGATGTTTTCATTATGGAACCATGGTTAAAATCTCCAAACCGACATATTTGCATAACGTATATGTGATTACACTCTCAGTCTTCAAACATTAAACGTTTACGGCCGATAATAGACATCTTTACTGAGGTGCGGGACGGAGCAGCAGCCGGGGCCCACAGATGGCCTCAGCGTCTGGGCTTAAAGCAGAGGACGCTTGGGGCTTACTCGGAGCGCTGCCGGTCGATGGAAAAGTACAGCTCCTGCATCTGCTCCTTGCTCAGAATGCCATCCGTGAAGTAGGACTGAAACTCCTCCATGGACAGCTTACCGTCATCTGGAAAACACACGGGGAAGAGATACACTTTATTAGACTAATTAGATCAAGATAATGAGTGCACTTTATTGTCCTCGTAGGTAAATTCATCCTCTGCATTTGACCCACCCTGATGCCACTAAGGCTTTCGTCAGGAGCTGTGGTCGCCGTAGTAACAGCATCCGGGGACCCATCTCCAGATTTTGATGCTCGGCTTAGTCAGGACTACCGCAGCTAGATGATTTTACCTAGTGAGCATATTTTAGTTGTAGGGGAAACTGGAGCACTCTGAGGAAACCTATGTAGACACGGGGAGAACATGCAAACTCCACTCAGAAAGGCCCTGTTGTGACTGGGATTCAAACCCAGGACTTTCTTGCAAAGAGGCGAGAGTGCTATCCACCCAGCCATCGTGCAACAACAAATCCTCCACCAACTTAAAAACGCATGTAAACTGGTGCGCTCCAACTGTCTGTTTGGAGGATCTGGATTCTACTGTGGTTGAGCTTGATACCGACGTAAACCGGAATCCTTATGAGACGAGGGGCTGTGACGCATTTGAGTGCACAGGAAAAAAAAAAAAGAGCTTATATTAGAAATGTATGTGTTTCGACGGATAGGAGCCTTACTCATGTTGCTCGGGATACGCGGTCCCTCGCAGCATGGGTTTGGTTGTTTTGATTTGTCACACAAGGCAGTAGATAAACGAAACAGGAATCATGGTGGTTTTAAGAGCCCAGGGGAAATTCCATTATTCATGCGGCAGAGCTGAGGCGTGAAAATCAAATGAACCAAAGGCCGAGCTTATAATGTATCACTATTTCAAATTATGGTTAGGTTTAGAAAAAAGTATAGTCTATATTAACTAACCCAGAAATGGATTAAGGGGTAGAAAATGAACAATCTATATGGATATAGAAAGTGTCGAGGTGGACGCCCACCCCGGTCAGAGTAATTACCTCCTTTTGGGTGTATAAAAAATACCCACACATGCATGACTCACTCTTAAATCAAATAAGAGTGTAAATGACAAGGGAAAAGTCAAAATTTCATGTTGAGTCCCCTTTAAATGGTCGTGAGACTCAATAAACTGAAACTTTAATTGGACATTATTCTTAGGCATGTGGCAATCCCTCCAGGCTCTAGTGTTCCATGGCACATTGATTATATGTGAGGTAAACCGTGAAAACAAAGTAATTAAAAGTTAGAACAATTTAATATCACTCAATGGATTTTACAAACAGTTCAAGATGCCGCTTGCATACAGGGAATGGCGTGATGATGGGACCCCTGAACCTGAACCTGGGACCCCTGGCCTCATTTACCGACTGTTTTCCCTGGCCCAGATTCATGAGTTCTAGTGCCTGGGAACCGCCTCGGTCCTGCATTGCGTGGCCTCGGTCCTCGTTCTACAGGCTGAGTCCTATATCTCTCCCTCAATGTGGGCCTCCCCGAGATTTCTCACTTTTCTCCCACTGGGTTTTAGAGTTTTTCCGTGTCGATGCAGGAGTGTCCAGGGACAGTGATGATGATCCAGGACATACGACATTCAAAAACATTTAAGGAGATTTGCTAACATTGGAAAGTAGCTCAGTTGGTAGAGCACTGGTCTTTGGACCTATTGTTGTGGGTTCAAATCCAACACAACCCATGTCATCTGCTCCCACTGATGTCTGCTGATGTTGTGTCCCTTGGGTGGCAGCTCTGGTTGCCACCCCCTGACCCAGAAATGGATTAATAAAGGAGTAGGACATGACATGAAGGACATTGCAACAATTCAAATATGCATTTCTTGTGTTTGAACTGTTTCATTCTCTGATCTGTGTTGGCAAATTCATTCAATTACTTTCTTTTAAATCCTCAGAGAATAGATTGAATAGAATAGATTGAATAGAATTGCATTTCCTGTGTTCCAATTGTTTAATTCTCTGACCAGCTGCTGGTGATTCTGTGACTATTGGGAGACAATACAACCTTTTAAAGTCCTCCAAGACCACTGTTGTCTTGAGGTATACAAAAATAAATGTAATTCTAATGAACACAGTGGATATATGTTTCAAGAGACGCAGAATGTGGCGAGAACAGTATCATTACATTTACTGCAGTGTACATTCACGAACACTGAATCTCCAGGTCTGCGGTAAAAGCCCATTACTGCGCGAACACAATGCCTTTAATGGCACTGTACCGCACATGGGAATTATCAACTACTCACCACCGCTGCGCTTTTAATGAGCCACTATCTCTGCTCTGCACTATCTTTACAACGCTCACGCCTGTGTAGCCCAATGTCCCCAGTTTGAGTACCTGCAAAACAATCATGCAACAATTTCTGCTAAATTCCACTTTGCACAGCCGTGTGGGGGATATGAAAGCTTATGAAAGGTGGGCGTCTGATGAGCAGGTTGCTGGTTTGTGCGTGGAGCTCTAATTGGATCTTGCTGGCAGATTTTTTCCGAGCATTGAAGGAGATCTAAGATGTGGTTCTGCAGCAGACAACACTGATGGGCCGCAGCCAAAGCCAAATCACATCATCTGCCAGTTCATATGAGCTATTTGGACCCGTTTCAAGCAGCGAGGATGACTCAAGGAGAGGAAAGAAGAGCAAGAGTATGAGTGCTTGCAAAATTTGATAGGGTCACTGTTTTATAGGCAGCGTGTCCAGTGATGCGGCCGCTGTATGTAAAAGGGAGTAGCGTCTGCATTCAGAGCTGTATCGGACTGTCGTGGTAAAGAGGTAAAGAGGGAGTAGTGTCTGCATTCAGAGCTGTATCGGACTGTTGTGGTGAAGAGGGAGTAGCGTCTGCATTCAGAGCTGTATCGGACTGTTGTGGTGAAGAGGGAGTAGCGTCTGCATTCAGAGCTGTATCGGACTGTCGTGGTAAAGAGGTAAAGAGGGAGTAGTGTCTGCATTCAGAGCTGTATCGGACTGTTGTGGTGAAGAGGGAGTAGCGTCTGCATTCAGAGCTGTATCGGACTGTTGTGGTGAAGAGGGAGTAGCGTCTGCATTCAGAGCTGTATCGGACTGTTGTGGTGAAGAGGGAGTAGCGTCTGAATTCAGAGCTGCATCGAGAAGATAAAGTTATGGATTTATTGGTCAATTTACATTCCCACCTTCACATTTGGATAATGACTGAAAGGACGAGATTGCGGATACAAATGGTCAAAATGAGCTTCATCTGCAAAGAAGCTGGGCAATCCCTCAGAGATAGGGTGAGGAGCTCAGTCACACGGGAGGAGCTCGGAGAAAAGCCGCTGCTTCTGAGTTGGCTTGGGCATCGGTTTGGATGCCTACTGGACACGTGTTTCAGACATGACCCACCGGGAGGAGACCATGGCAAGACCCATGACATGTCGGAGGGACTAGACTGCTGCCCCCGCAACTCGCCAATCGATAAAGCGGAAGAAAATAGATAGGTGCATGTTCTACAGCAGAGGTGTCAAACCGGTTCCAGAAAGGGCCGGTGTGGCTGCAGGTTTTAGTTCCAACTTGAGCAGGAGCACACCAGACTCCACCCATTTCCTCAAATCTTGAAAAATGGTCTCACCTGAGGAAATGGGTGGAGTCTGGTGTTCTCCTGGTAAGGTTGGAGCTAAAACCTGCAGCCACACCGGCCCTTTGAGGACCGGTTTGACACCCCTGTTCTACAGTATATGCTTACATATGGGTCAGGTGAAGTAGGTTATAAAACTACACAAAAGTTACATGAGAGACAATAAAGTACATATTGACAGCAAAACGAACTCTGTAGCAAGAGCTCTTTCTGTCAGAAAGGGCTGTTGCAAACGCTGCTCTATAGAAAGGAACTAGTAAAAAATGTTTGAAAGTTTTTATATTACTCAATGCGGATCCATTGAAATCGGTTAAATTGTTCTGATTATTTTTAATTATTTTGATGCTCTAGTTTTGATTCATTCATTTTGACATGTTCCAGTATAGAAAAGCCAAAACGGGTCGAAAAACTCCAACCTTTCCCGCGGTTGTCCCGTCATAAGGTCAAAAACCAGTTTGAGTGCAGTTTGAAAACGTCTGTAGATCTTACACTTTATTATCAAACGCTCAGCTCTTGAGAACACAGCAGAAGTGTATTTCAAGAGAGATGTTGAAAGAGTTCCCCTGAGCTTCTGTGTGCGCTGTGACTTTAGAAGAGTTGTGTTGAAAGTCGGACGTTTGTGCAGGCTCTATTTGTCTTCTCCAAGGTGAAAAGCGAGATCAGAAAACATGCTTCCGTTTGCCACTGTTGTCCCAGGTCAACAAGGAAAATAAGGAAACACAGATCTGCCGTTTGTAAATGTCTAAAGTGAGTCCAGAGTTGAATTGAATAAGAAGAAATGTAATAAATGTAACATCACCATTTGTGTAAAGAAAAATCTAAATATCAAGCGTTTGAATACATGACAGAGGCTAAAGCCTAGTTCACACGGCAGGATAATTAGGCCGATTTTGGACCCGATTTACCCCTACGACATTCGTAAGAACGCTCCAAATATCGTAACAAAAAATCTGATGGATATTCCTGCCGTGTGTGGTGTGTTAAGACTGTGCTCGTTGCTCGGAAGGACTTCGGGACTGCTCCGATCTCAATATCGGGGATATCCAACATATCCAACAAAACAGTCAGCGGCATGGCGCACCAGAAAGTTCGGTGGACATCAGAGATGGAGGAACAACTAGTTGACCTCTGCCAACACCGTGAATGTATGTATGACGTGTCGTGTAAAGGATATCAAAACCGAAATGACAAGGAGAGGAATGGGGCAGAAATCTCTGCTGCACAGGTAGTGTTGGCATAAGCCCTATTCGGACGGGATTAGTACACTAAATGATCAGACTGATGGTTGTGTTTGTATGTTTACTTTGCACTCTGTTGTAATACAGTACGTGTTGATGCAGCCGTTACTGCAGCCATGCTTGTTGGTTTGCGCGTATGTAAAGTTTCATGTCTAGCAGTGTGTGATGCGTTCACAGGTAGTCCGTACAAACTGTATTATTGAACAGCACAG